GGAGCTAAATATGTTAAGCTTCAATCATAACTGGCATGAAAAGCTTTAATATTTCATGATTTTATTTATTACTTATGTTATCTGGCCTTAGCGCGATAAATCACATGTACTTAACTTTATCTCTCAGCTAGTTGTCTATTAGTCTATACATAATATGTTCAGGTATAAAGTGTTCTGGTTGTTTCTTTGTCAAGTTCAGAATTGAATTATTAATTGTCTAACATTTGCCCAATGTCTTACAATGTACAAATCTGACCAATTAATTAACTAGATCATCCTTTTAATTATTGATTTCCTATTATTTTTTTGTCAAAAATGTTTGTATTATGCTTACGTTGTCATTTTTTAATAAACCTAGTCCTCGTTTTTTTAATTTATTTTTAGTTCTGACCCTTTTTATGAAATAAAGCAACGTCATTATTCTCCATTACTTGGCACCGTACAGTGAAACTATATTATTGTACACTCTTTAGCATTTCTGTCTACCTGTAAGCTGCCACTTTGGCAAAGTGATTTAGACATAAACCTCCTTTGCTTTTACAAACTTAATTTAATCCTTAAACAATGCAAGATATGGCATACTTCCAAGCAGGTCGACTTGTATATGTTCCAAAAGCAAGTACGGCTTTCAGTGCAAAAATAGCAGAGGGCCAAAGATCAGTAAACCTCTAAGACAACGGCGCCTAGAACATTGTGTATTGCAGTTGGCCATTGTGTATTGCAGTTGGCCATTGTGTATTTGGCCAGTGTGTGTTGCAGTTGGCCATTGTGTATTGCAGTTGGCCATTGTGTATTGCACTTGGCCAGTGTGTATTGCAGTTGGCCATTTTGTATTGCAGTTGGCCAGTGTGTATTGTAGTTGGCCAGGGTTTATTGCAGTTGGCCAGTGTGTATTGCATTTGGCCATTGTGTATTGAGTTGGCCAGGGTGTATTGTAGTTGGCCAGTGGGTATTGTAGTTGGCCAGTGTTTATTGCAGTTGGCCAGTGTGTATTACAGTTGGCCAGTGTGTATTGCAGTTGGCCATTGTGTATTGCAGTTGGCCATTGTGTATTGCAATTGGCCAGTGTGTATTGCAGTTGGCCAGTGGGGATTGCAGTTGGCCAGTGTGTATTGCAGTTGGCCAGTGTGTATTGCAGTTTGATTGGATGCGATTGTATCAATCTGGACCCATACTTGAGCCACCATGTACTGCATTTCTTGCAAATCCTTGCATCATACGACTGTATGATTGCATAATCTGTTCAAATATTATGAAAAAACAATATTCGTTATAATATGGCCGAATGGATATATCAAAAAGTAGAGATATCATAAGAAGTATCTCTATGAACGTGATAACTGTCTTATATTTTGTGTAATGTAACGTTCGTGCTGTGACAAAGGGTCGGATCGCCTCGAAAATTTCACAAGTTACATTATTATTTTTGTAACTTCCCTGCTTATTACATGTATATCGATTTAAACAGTACGTATTTCTTAAATCTTATTCATAAATTAGGGTTGACAAAGAAAAGTATTACACTACAAAAAATATTAAATACTGAATTGTTTTAATGGAGGGCCCATCAATAAAGGTTGGAGGCCAAGAAAGTATGGCCACTGTTTTAAACAAGAGGCTCAGAGGGCCTGTATCGCGCAAACTATTCTCATTAAATATTACATAGTACTACAAATATTTCACTCGCAACTTTGTCAGCTCCATCTGTTGAAACTACCAGCCAAATATTATCTATATTCTTTTTCAGAAATTGTTTGACATATTTTTCTATGTGACCTTGTAAGTAGGTCAAGGTCATTTTCATTCTCAAACTCTGTTGGCTCTATCCCAGGAAGCAACCAGCCAATTATTAAGATTCTTTACCTTTCAGTTTGCCAGAAGAAGTCTTTTGAAATGTTTTACTTATTTGACTGCTGTGACCTTGAAAGCAGGTGAAGGTCATTTTCATTCTCAAACTTTATGGAGCTTTATCCTAGGAAGCCACCAACCCAAATGTGAAGATTCTATACCTTTCAGTTCTTCAGAAGAAGTCAGTTGAAGTGTTTGACACATTTGGCCGCTGTGACTTTGAAAGTAGGTCAAGGTCATTTTCATTCTAAAACTTTTTCTGACTCAATCCCATGAAGCAACCAGCCAAATATAAAGATTATATACCCTTTAGTTCTTCAGAAGAAGTAATTTGAAGCGTTTGACACATTTGAACGCTGTGACCTTGAAAGTATGTCAAGGACATTTTTTATTCTCAAACTTTGTCTGGCTCTATCCTAGGAAGCCACCGGCCAAATGTGAAGATTCTTTACCTTTCAGTTCTTCAGAAGAAGTCAGTTGAAGTGTTTGACACATTTGACCATTGTGACCTTGAAAGTTGGTCAAGGTCATTTTCATTCTCAAACTTTGTCGGGCACTATCCAAGGAAGAAACCAGCCAATTATGAAGATTCTATACCCTTTTGTTCTTTAGGAGAAGTAGTTTGAAGTGTTTGACATATTTGACTGCTGTGACCTTGAAAAGAGGTCAAGGTCAGTTTCATTCCCAAACTTTGTCTGGCTCTATCCTAGGAAGCCACCAGCCAAATATGAAGATTTTAGACCTTTCAGTTCTTCAGGAGAAGTCGTTTGAAGTGTTGGACACATTTGACCCCTGAAACCTTGAAAGTAGATCAAGGTCATTTTCGTTTTCAAACGTTGTTGGGCTTCTACCGACGAAGCTTTCAGTCAAATATCATGACTGTCCGTTCTTCAGAAGAAGTTGTTTAGAGGAAAAATTGACGAGAACGGACGACGGACGACGCACCATGACATAAGTTCAGTTGCCCTTCGGGCTAAAAGTGATCTAAAAATGGCTACTGAAATTCACACGTTACTTCTTTTTTGGCTACTGATTTTTAGGTCTAGAGTGAGCCCTACAAACCGGACGAATCTTAGTAACGGTCACTCAAAAAATCTTCCGAACGAGTAACCGGTTAATCGGTCAGTGTCGTAATCAAACAATTAACAACAAATACAAAGTGTGTCCATTAAAAAACGTATTTACAATTAATATAAGCAGAGGAACAACAACGCCGTTGAAAATCGCCAAAAAAGAACAACTGAATGGAATATCAAGTCAATACATCATTATAAATTGCTAAATGTCGGTCTGTGACATGATAGCACCGTGATATAACTGCACATTGTGACAACGGAGTTCGAAGTTCTATTTAATAGGGTCAGATTATAGAGCATACAGACAGGATATAGCTGATTTTGGTCTAACTGTTACCGCAAAACGAATTGAGAAATTAGAAAAAATACGGGGGCGTTGCATTGTTTACAAAAAACAACACCTTGGACTACCTTGGGGGGGGGGGGGGGTTCGAATTCCCATGGGGGTTTCCATATTGGGAAAAATTGAGGAAATGGTGAAAAATACATGATTTATAAAGAAAATTATCAGGGTGGGGGATGGTTCTTAAAAGCCCCAAAAAACCTCTGGATTATTATTAAAAAATATTTCAATTCGAGTCACTGGTATAAGAAAACAAAATAATGTTTCATCTTTAACTTTTATACAGACTTTTTATGACAACTAAGGTTTATCGACATTATAACACCGTACTATCGTATTGTGATCAAGGGGAGATAACCACTACAAAAGCGAATGCAACATATTCAATTGTTATGATCACGGCATTAGAATAGAATAAGTGTAAGTCCTTGGTTATGATATACTTGTTACAGAGGAAGTATGGTATGGTAGAGGACCAGAAATCCAGTAAAAAACTGTTCGTACCTCTGACCAGGATATAAACTCGCGTTTAGTTGCAAATTGTACCAATAGTTTGACTACTAGAATACTGTTTTAGGCAAGTTACAAATGTTTAAAGATAGGTCAAATCTAAAGAGATATCTGTTGCCGATTGCTGCTGACTGGCCAATGTCTCCCTTGGGATTTGTAATGTTGTGTACATCGCCTCTCAACCAAAAAAAACCCACACAGGGACCTGAAAATTTGTAACAGCTACATTTGGACTAGGACTAATATAAATACCCTGCTTCCTCTGCCAATGTTCAAAATTGTCTCGTCAACAGGAGCTACGTTATCGCAGCTATATCTGGACCTAAACGAGCATTTACCATCAATGCGGGTGTAATTTTTACCGAAAACTGATCTGAACCCCTAAAAGTACTCTGAACATCCCAAATTAGAAAATAATATTGCTGTAACAAATTTTCAGGTCCCTGTGATGAACCATCAGCGGGGCTCTGTGATCAACAGGCAAAATGACTCAAATAAATAGATTTCAAATAATTTCTCTTTTTAAATCAAGCTGTTTAGTAAGTAGATTCACCAGTCAACTTGATGACAACAATGTTGGTTGTTCTAATGAGTGATGGAGACACAGAAAAACTAACCATGCTACAGCAAAGGCCACTGGCCCTATGTGCCGATACATAACGTGAGGTCCTGTAGCTGGTGTCTAACGTGATTACTCATACTGTGCAACTGATCAACATCTATTTGTATGCTTTTCATGTGTAATTGAACAGGTAACGTTGGTTTAGAAATGTTCTGATAAGGTAATAACTCATCCTTGACTAATTTCACTCAGTACATCACCCCATTAGTATGTCTACATAGTAAAAGATCAAACTAACAAAGCACCACCTGATGAATCGTGTACAAGCAGTTCATGCAAGTTTATGGTGGTGATAGTGATTTTTTTTTTGTGTGTTAACTCTCAGGAAGGTTCCTTTGTAGGACGGAAATTTTCCTTGAACAATTAGGAAATAGCACAACTCATGAACAGTTTTAGATTTGTTTGAGGCGTAAAATACTAGTATCGTTTTTGTCCGCAAATAAGCCCACCAAAATATGTATTACAGGTCATTGCCTAGAAGTAGTGATAAGTGCAATTTCCTGTAGAAAGACCCCCTCATTTGAGTTGAAGATCATGTTTTGGCCGTCTGGGCGTTATAGCAGGTTAAATGTAGGTGTCAATGATAAAACAAACTGTGATATGCTTACATGAACCTTTTATTCCTACCATATTATACAAAGATTTATTCACAATACATACAAGCATTTCTCATAGGAACAAGGTAGCGTAACAGCATAGAAGTGTAGGAAGATAGATAAGAACAGACACAGTACCCAAGACAAAACTGACGTAAATTTTTCTTGGATTTCATGAAATTTTTCTTTACACGCTAAAAATTGTTTATATTTTTTTCGAAGACAAAATACATATTCAAGGCTAGTAACCACTATTACCCTGAACCACATATAACAGCAAACAATAATTCACTCATATATCATTTAAAATTGTACATTGGTAAATATAAATCCAAAAAATTAAATGATAGTTATATTATATTGATTTCAAATTTTATGCTGAAATATATATCCGTATAAATGAAAATTGTTCATAAAATGTTTACAAAATATTTTGATATTTAAAAATAAGAATTCAAGCAGATAAATAATTTGTTTCACCTTTTGGTCTTACAATAATTAGTGGTTGCCATAATAATAATTCAGTTGACCCTAATCAGGACATTTGTGTTCAAGAGCTGAGCTACTTTAATGAGTTAATCCTGAGTCTAGATCGGAAACCAAAGTGTGCAATTAGATGAGATTCTACCATAATCGATATTAATGTATTAACATGATCAACATCATCTTTATATCCAAGATTTCATGATCACAAATCGACATTTGGGGGAACAAAATTCTCATGATTTCTAACCATAGACATCTGAAACAGCTTCAGAAAGTTATAAAGTTAAACATCAATACGAAAATTCAAGGCATCCTGATCAATACCCGGTCTTTTTGGCAGTATATTTTCCTCATGATATAATGTAGTATGACGGGTTACCAGTAGCATGCAGTAGTGACACAGAGTATGAAGAAGAATCAAGCGCATCACTAAGTTGCAAATGACTCATTCAATAAGCCACTCTCAACTGGATTCACCGTCACAATTTCATCTCAGAACTTCGTACTACATGTACCAATATGTGCAGAAAAAATAGGATCACAGGGACATTTCACTCACCAAACCTTAAACCCTATCTTTCTGCATTTCTCCCTGAAATACACACAGTGAAGCTGGAGCAGTGATTTAGGAACATCAAGGGTACTAGGACTGAAGCAGTGATTTAGGAACATCAAGGGTACCAGGACTGAAGCACAACAGCCAGAGCCTAATAAAACTATCAGCATATCAGCCCTTTACCAGTGTAAAACATAATTTCTGTAAGTTCTGTATTTGGAATGGAATTGAGAAAAGACGATTACCATAGGACATTACAAGCATGTTTTTTGGTAGCTATGGGTACCATAGAACTATACGTTTCATCAGTGAAATTTTCATTTTTCATTTGATTTCTGTAATAAATTTCTTTCATTATTGTAATGATGATGTTAAATTGACGTTAAACAGATGTTAAACAGAGATAAATAGTTCATGAATCAAAATTTCAACAACAGAATTTCTTCCTCGTATGAAACGAGTAGATACAATGTGACATTAATACTGGCATCCTAATCCTAATCAGAATTTAATGAATACAGATGAGAAACTTGCGATTAAGCATGATAGATCAATTTGACGACAGGGTTCAGATGAATAACAATACATATATAATATCAAGCAATATACGAAAATTGGTTCCTTCTCACAGCTAAAAGAACACAAATTGATCGTTGAGCTAGACAACAATGAAGGTGTTTGATCGTGGAATATAGAACAATAGGGACTCACAGGGAGTCGGCAAAGAATCTAAACAAACTCCCTAGATATCACTGAATCAAGGAAATGTTCAAATTTGGAAGTAATAGTCAGAAGTAATTCGGAGAAAAATCATCGGTTTGATACATTCACCTTCAAAATGTCACATCAAATCACAATCAGGTAAACAGTCTTCAAAATAACATTCTTATGCCGTGAAAATATCAAACCATCCACAAATGTCTGATCAAGAATCAGACAAAAAATAAAATAAGCAAAATTTTACAAACACTTAAATAAATAATTGTACAGTACAACACAGCTCACAGGCACAGTCTCCATTCATTCTTAAAAATAATAGTTTACAATTCACATTGTGTATTTACAATTGCACATGGTTACTTACAACAGGTAAGTTGGTCACCTACAACAGGTAACTGGTTACCTAGACTAGGTTATTAGTTACCTATCACAGGTAAGTTAACACCTACAACAGGTAAATTATTACCTCAGCCAGGTAAACTATCACCTACAATAGGCTACTGATCACTCACAAATAGTAAATTATTACCTACGCCTGATTAGTTATCACCTAAAGCAGGTAAATTACCAACCAGGACAGGTGAGTGATCACCTAAAGCAGGTAAATTACCAACCAGGACAGGTGAGTGATCACCTATACCATCTTGATTATCACCCACAATAGGTAATATTCTTTGTAATTAACCAATAATATACTTTTAACATTTCAATATCAAAAACCCTTGACGGTCTGTGATTGGTCCAGAATAAGTTCTAAAAGTCTGTGTCTGTGACCTTGAGCAGGATTTTATTGAACACAATCACCAGCGACCTGATGCTGTACTGGTTCATGTTAAGTGGCAGGTGATTTCTGACGATTTTGATGACATTCTATTCAGTCAAATGTAAATATTAAAAAAAAAAAGTTTTGTTCTTTAATTTAATAAAGTTGAACATACATAAAAAGTGAATATGTTTATCAATGTTTAAAATAGTAAACAAGAGGGACTTGAGGTTAGGACCTTAATACACATGTCTTTTACCTGTCACAGCAGCTTAAAATACTATGACCTATGTTATAAAATATCAAAACAATATTGAACAACAGCACCCAGTGTAAATAGACTGACATACAAGATCGTATTAATACCAATGTACCAACTCGGAACAAAATCCATTAGGTGTGCAAGTTTCCTGAACTAATGACGATTTGGACCACATGACACGATGAGTGATGAACTATTATACTAGTTAATGCCAATACTTGAAAGCTAGTTTTATGTAATTACACACAGAAAGTACAAGTATGCCCTTTTCTCAATGTCTACTAATAACCTTGCACATCTGTTGTTGACTTGCACCTACCTTGTCAATACAAATATCACTTCACAATTCAGTAATTACAGACAGGAGAAAATTGGAGTTGACACGTTGAACTGAGTGCCTTATACATTTGTATATATTTGGAATGCATTTTAATGTTGAGCATCTATAGTCAGCGTGAACAGCTACAAATATTACCGTCCTATTTTGATCAGGAGTACTCTTTTCACAAAATATTTTACACTATAAAATCAGATCATTGTTTTCAATAGAAAATAATCAGCAGTTTCTAATTTGATTTATTTAAAAATTATTTCTGTAAATTTTGTATGCATAAAGCTCTATACTCATATTAAATGTTTTCTAAAGATAGAATGGTACCTAGTTTTTATACAGAAGTGATATTAAAAACCCACGCAACATAAGCCTCTTCAGGGAGTCTTTGGTGCTGAACTGTATGTACGCTCAAATGCATGGTGTTGTTTATTTCATCAATATAACAGGACTTTTTTACAATGACTGTACGTACAGCCACAAAGTTACAGGGACAAGTAATGTCCGTGTTATGCCTTTAGGTGCGAATCTCACCCCAGCTTTGTGAAAAAGGTATCCACAGTTCCTAGAGCAGCACATACCACGACATAAGTCACCGTCTTCACGCTACGTGAAATAAGTCTGTTTTCACACTTATATATAAAAATAGGTCACAGAATCCATCACATGTAAGTAGGTCGCTGTAGCCTCTGTTATGCACATCTGCAGAAGCGTGGTTGATGAGGATTACCGTTCGGTCTGAACAAGACTGTTGTGACTAGTTCAGAATCCAGACATCTCAGCTGGCCCCAGGCATGTTTGAACGACAGATACTTGTCCTGGTCTCACAAAACTTTCTGCAACAGATGGAAAAATGATTCAACAACCAAATAAATGATGGTTCTATTTACTCTTATTTATAATTACATACAGAGATGTAATGGGAAGAATATCATTGCAAAGAAATGGTTATCTCAATCCTTAATACACTGTATTTACAATCATCCAAGGCCACCAAAGAAATGGTAAACTCAATCCTCAATACACTGTATTTACAATCATTCAAAGAAACTGTATTATGCAAGAATACTCAAACAACCAAATAACATTGCATTATATCAAAGTTTTACTTAATGCACAAACAATGTACATATTAAATATGTTGTAATGTTTCAAGACTGACTGGTCCCTTTGTCAAGCTATGACTGAGTGAACAATTTGCATTGTTTACCTATACAACAATATGATCTGTTGAAGATACCATTGCATTCTGTTTACGTATTTTATGAATAAGTTCATTTTAAAATCACTCTGTAAACAAAATAGCTATTTAATTTGTATGCATACCTTTAAAACAGACCACAGTCTTTGAGATTGTTCTTGATGATGACGTCTGTGACCGCGTCAAATACAAACTGGACGTTATTGGTGTCCGTGGCACATGTAAAGTGGGTGTATATCTCCTTCGTTTCCTTACGCTTGTTCAGATTCTCAAACTGCACCTGTATGTAAGTTGCTGCTTGCTCATAGTTGTTTTCACCTTTAAAAAACAATTGGATTATAAGATTAATCAGTGACTGTACAATGGATGAGAACTCCCTCGAACAAGATAATAGGAATGATCTCTCAAAGGAGTTGACAGAGGAGATCTCTCAAATAAAATAACTGGTAGGCGACATAATAGACAGGAGAGCTCTCTCAAAGCAGAAAGCTGACAGGAGAGTTCTGTCAAACACAGTAATTGACAGGAGAGCCCCTTCAAAGCAGACAGCTGACAGGAGAGTTCTGTTAAATACAGTATCTGACATGTACAGGAGAGCTCTGAAAAAGGGATAATTGACAGGAAAGCTCTGAAAAATGGTTAATTGACAGGAGAGCTCTGAAAAAGGGTTAATTGACAGGAGAGCTCTGAAAAAGGGATAATTGGCAGGAGAGCTCTGAAAAAGGGATAATTGGCAGAAAAAGGGATAATTGACAGGAGAGCTCTGAAAAAGGGATAATTGACAGGAGAGCTCTGAATTAGGGATAATTGACAGAAAAGCTCTGAAAAAGGGATAATTGACAGGAGAGCTCTGAAAAAGGGATAATTGACGGGAGAGCTCTGAATTAGGGATAATTGACAGAAACGCTCTGAAAAAGGGATAATTTTTGACACAACAGCTCTGAAAAAGGGATAATTTTTGACACAACAGCTCTGAAAAAGGGATAATTGACAGAAAAGCTCTGAAAAAGGGATAATTGATAGGAAAGCTCTGAAAAAGGAATAATTGACAGGAGAGCTCTCAAACAGGGATAATTGATAGGAAAGCTCTGAAAAAGGGATAATTGGCAGGAGAGCTCTGAAAAAGGGATATATGACAGGAAAGCTTTGGGAAAGGGATAATTGACCGGAGAGCTCTGAAAAAGGGATAATTGACAGGAGAGCTCTGAAAAAAAGGGATAATTGACAGGAGAGCTCTGAAAAAGGGATAATTGACAGAAAAGCTCTGAAAAAAGAATAATTGACAGGAGAGCTCTGAAAAAGGGATAATTTTTGACAGGAAAGCTCTGAAACAGGGATAATTGACAGGAAAGCTCTGAAAAAGGGATAATTTTTGACAGGAAAGCTCTGAAAAAGGGATAATTGACAGAAAAGCTCTGAAAAAGGGATAATTGATAGGAAAGTTCTCAAAAAGGAATAATTGACAGGAGAGCTCTCAAACAGGGATAATTGATAGGAAAGCTCTGAAAAAGGGATAATTGGCAGGAGAGCTCTGAAAAAGGGATATATGACAGGAAAGCTTTGGGAAAGGGATAATTGACCGGAGAGCTCTGAAAAAGGGATAATTGACAGACAAGCTCTGAAAAAGGGATAATTGACAGACAAGCTCTGAAAAAGGGATAATTGACAGAAAAGCTCTGAAAAAGGGATAATTGAGACAAAAGCTCTGAAAAAGGAATAATTGTCAGGAGAGCTCTCAAACAGGGATAATTGATAGGAAAGCTCTGAAAAAGGGATAATTGGCAGGAGAGCTCTAAAAAAGGGATAATTGACCGGAGAGTTCTGAAAAAGGGATAATTGACAGGAGAGCTCTGAAAAAGGGATAATTTTTGACAGGAAAGCTCTGAAAAAGGGATAATTGACAGGAGAGCTCTGAAAAAGGGATAATTGGCAGGAGAGCTCTAAAAAAGGGATAATTGACAGGAGAGCTCTGAAAAAGGGATAATTGACAGGAGAGCTCTGAAAAAGGGATAATTGACAGGAGAGCTCTGAAAAAGGGATAATTGACAGGAGAGCTCTGAAAAAGGGATAATTGACAGAAAAGCTCTGAAAAAGGGATAATTGACAGAAAAGCTCTGAAAAAGGGATAATTGACAGGAGAGCTCTGAAAAAGGGATAATTGACAGGAGAGCTCTGAAAAAGGGATAATTGACAGGAGAGCTCTGAAAAAGGGATAATTGACAGAAGAATTTTCTTCAATGAGGATATTTAACAGGTTTGTTTGCATCAAACTCCAAGTCGTTACACAGAATTGTCTACCTCAAACTACCTAAACCTGATTTATCACAAAGTGTGTTGTGTATGAATTTGCTCTGTCTGAATATGCAACAATATACAGATTGACACACTTACATCCATAATAAGAGTACCCCCAACCAATCTTTAATTTAAACTTGAATGCTGATCTTAAAAAAATAGTTTTTTTCCATTCCAAAATTAATCATCTGGTTGGTTTTGTTTGTAAGACAACTGTACACAAAATTCCTGTTGCTACAAAGTTTAGTCTTGAAAATAAATACAAACCTGAAAACTCTGGGAAACAGATGGTGAGGGCCGATTTCTTTATTTTCTCCTCAAATAGATCTTTCTTATTTAGGAAGAGGATAATGGAGGTATCAGTAAACCACTTATTGTTACAGATAGAATCAAAGAGCTTCATGCTCTCCATCATTCGGTTCTGAAACAGAAAACAAACAGCATAAAACTTCGTGTCCTATAACTGAATCAGTAGAACACAAAGTGTCAACAGAGTCGGCTCCTGCTCTTATCATATTGCAATATATATAAGAGTTATGTCCCTTCCTTCATATATTTTGAGGTCGGTATGAATTTATTTATTAAAATGGTGAATTCCTTGCCTTTTCAACAATCATATTGTAATATGTTTAACGAGTTATGTCCCTTCCCTGCTATAATCTGTCTTTGCTGTGAAATATTTTGTAATAGGTGAATTATTAGCCTTATTTTATTATAGCAATGTTCAGATTTATAAACATTAGTATTTTTTGAGTGAAACTGCTCAAGTTTGAACGCATTAATAGCAGATGAGCCAACAATTCACGTATCTCTACTTGTCCAAGTTTATTCAATTTGCTAGTACATTAGTACAGTACATGTCCGGCTATCCTATACAATACATACAATTAAGCTCAGTAGGGCTGAGTAGAGAGGAATAGTGTGTACAACTTGGTAAGAACATCATAAAGGGATCTCAACGCCACAAGGACGTTTTGTGTGATTTCCTGTCTACATGTTTCGGCCTGCTATTCGGCCATCATCAGGACAATAGCTGGTAGAAACATGTAGACAGTAAATTGCACAAACGCCCTTGTGGTGTTGAGATTTCTTTATTCCTTGATTATATTTTATTTGCAGGGAGCTCTACAGAATCCACTCACAGATTCAGGACACTACTGCAAAGTTCTACATTAGAAATGCTGGATCACCTATTATTTATTAACTGGGTAAGAAAGATTACCAATCAAATACAGGGATAACTCCTAACAGAAGACAAGGGAAGGGTTTTCATGTAGCTACTCACCATTTCCTGGTCCTCCACCAGTGTGAGATCATACTCGCTCATGGCAACAATGAAGATAATGGCTGTCACGCCCTCAAAACAATGGATCCACTTTTTCCTTTCTGACCTTTGACCTCCCACATCAAACATTCTGTAAACAAATCAAACATGATATGCTGTAAATACAAAAACAAAGCTTAAAGCACAACCAATTTAATCTGCTAGAACTTTAGTATACTCTTCTATGTCAAAACCACTGCCCATATGTACATGTACATTTTACTTTACCCTTTCAACCCTATGTAACTTTAGTAGACTCTACCATGCATTGATCTGGATGAGTCCATTATGGTCTACAGTGGCGAAAGGATTAACATGATTCACAAATGAAATTAAAATAGAAATAGAAATTTTATAGTAGCAGATTAAGAATGTTGTTTGCCCGAGTGAATTTTTTCATGACATCCTGTTTGTCAATTTAATATTGACAACCATAGTAAAAGCTGTGTTTTGGTTAAAATTCCTACATATTATGATTAAGTTTGGTTTGGTTTTATTTTGTTTAATGTCCTTTCAACAGCTTAAGTCATTTAAGGACATGCCTGTATGTGTGTTGTGTATGTCTGCATGTGTGTTTGTGTGCTGGAGACAGGTCTGCATGTGTGTATGTGTGCTGGAGACAGGGTATGTTGGTGTATTTTTCTCCTGGTGATAGCCCATATCTGATGCCGACTTTCTCGTTGAAATACCATGCTGAAGGCACCCAGCACAGCATTCCACCCTGTCACATTATACACACAATGGGTAAACCAGTTCTTGTCATTACCCAAAATGCAAAATGCTAAGCAAGGAATACAGACTTTGTGTTATTATGGCAGAAATTTGACTTGAATGAAGATTTAATCATTTTATACTACAGACTATTCAAATGCAAATATATCTGAACAAATGTTTTACAGTTTTCATGACTATTAGATTTAGTGGTATATCATATCAATAATCACATTAATATCAATATCAAACTTGAAAACACTATTTTGCTTTCTTAAATATTGTACTTAAATCTATCTGAATGAATGATCAGACTTCACTCACCTGCTTACCATGTCATAAACTAGAGCTCATGGTAGGTACATGAACATTGTGTTCTGTACACCTCAACAAAATACAAACAACCACTTACTTGAAATGAAGATCTTTAAATGTAAAATGTGTTTCGACAATGCCCGTTGTTTTCACTCGCGTTCTGAGCACATCTTGTTCCGTGGGAATGTAACTGGATTGTGATACTCTGTCTAGGGAACTCAGGTAACTAAAGAAAAGACATACATGTAAGTTACATAAACAGGGTTTTAACAGATATTTATTGACTGATTGGGATACCTGAAACTTTATTTAACAGTACATTTTATTTCAACACTTGTTTAGCATCTGAACAGTTTTTATGAACTCTAACTTATTTTGTTTACCTTTGAAAACTGGAAAAGGGATTTAAAATTTCACTTTTTGTGTATAAGTGAATTTGATTGAATTAAAATACTTTCAATCTTTTTTCCTTTTTTCTTTTATACATTTGTAATATTATTACAATATTCTGTACTAAATTATCTCCCTTGCATTGTTAAATTTCCATAGGGATGGAGTTGTGTGACATATTTTCTGTTATAAGCTAATGCTACTTTTGGAGGTTTGGAAAGATGAGTATAAGATGTATTGTAAAAATTGATGAAATGTCGGATGTAAATAAAACAAATGTTATCAAAGTCGTCTGGTTCAGACAGTTATAAGTAATGTTGGTGATAATAATTTATATTTTATTTTTCCATGAAACTGATTTTTGGAGAAAGAACATTATTTTATCAATTCTACCATGCATGTAACATCCATATTTACCAAACACTGTAGTTTTGTTTCATAAATGTGTATTACAAGTTTGTCAGGATGATAATGAGGTGAAAAAGAGGTGGGAAATTATCATGTAATTGCTGAATGTGGGCGACAGATGTGTTCAGGATGAACAATATGCAAAAAAACATCACAGATGAAATTGCAGGGCATGTTTAGCCACAAAGATATTTTTTAATATACAAGAAAACAAGAATAATCTCTGTATTAAAATCAAGCTCTTGTTTGAAATTAAACATTGCAATCAAGGTCTACTTGCTTGTACCATCACCCCCGTCTGACTTACTATTCTGCAGAGTCGTTGAGTTGGTACTCCCGTGAGCGCCCGAAGCACTCCTGCATTCCCGAATCCTTCCACAGTCGTTTCATGATGGCCGCCAGTTCAGAGGAGAGCTCTCCCTCATCAGTGTTGTTTGTCAGAGCAAACAGCTGCCGGGCATCCTCCTGTTAAACAAAAGATTATCAGTAGTAGTTTAATATTTTCATTAGGTTATTATCAAACAATTATACCAACTAGAACAAAATATCACACATACAATTATTGGATATCAGCCACTATCTGGATTTAATCAAGCAAAACATTTTGCTAATTACCCTAGTAGGTTCCCATCAGCTACAATAGAGATACCACATCAAGCAACAGTTGATTATTTTTTATAAAAAGCCATCAGCAAGTGATTTTTTGCCTAGCTTTACAACCAAATACAAGCTGCTTTCAATGGCAAAAACAAAATTGCTTTATTTTCCCAAAATGAAAGAAAACAAATTGAGGAATTATCCTCTCAATTTCAATAATAGTAACCCTATTCATGTAGAAACAGGCTGTTATAAAATTTAGGCCGAAAAACACTGCAACAGCAAACTTAATGACTTCACAAATACATAATGCTGTTGTGAAGTATCGTGATATGACGTGAAGTATGGTGATATGACGTGAAGTATCGTGATATGACGTCATGATCAGTGGAAACATGTCCAGGCGATGTTCAGTTACACTCATATGAATAGATTAGCTCCGGCTGACATCCTAAAACAATGAGATGCTGATACACAGCTAACAAGTAGAAAATGGTAAGTCATTAACTCATTCACCCCTGAAATTTCATGATGAACTATTCCAACCTTTGAATTGGAAGAGTTCAAATGGGTCTTCAGGGGTGAATGAGTTAAGGAGGACATTTAGCTTCAAGTTTCTCTCTCGAAATGTTGAACTCTCAAAACAATTCATTTTGATCTTAGTGTCATGATAAAGTACTTGCTTATTAGGATGTTTACTGTACACTATATGGAAATTAATAAAAGTATCATTTAATTAAAAGTTTTTGTTTATGGTACTATGCACACTGAGAACATATATGATCAGTGGTGAACGCGGTGAACAGTTTTCCCATTTAGAAATTAGAGTGCTAGTCCATATGCAGACTTTGAAAAATTCTACTAGCCAAACTATATTTTCATAGAAGTTAGAATGAGATATTGAAAACTTTCATATAGTAGTCACAACATAAAATCTACTAGGCTTCGGTGTCGGGATGGTAAAATTACATCTAAGGTTTTCCCTAAATGTGTAACCATGAAAAACAATTGAAGTGTTCTAAAGTGCATTTTGTATTATTCACATGATATACGTCAGGTTTATATAAATAGTAGGCGGGCTGGCTTACAAGACTGTCAAAATATATACACAAGCATTGTGTTCATATATATACCCATACTGAAGTTGTGTGAACTGAAGTTGAAAACAACGGTTTCATGCCAAATCTTATGTTATTGATTGTTTTAAATCTCTGTAATGGAATGTGTGAAAAACAACCGTGTATATAACACGTGTAAATATGTTCGTTGTGGACAAACAATCTTGGACCAAACACAATGAGAATACCTGTGTTGTAGGCAAAGACAGGATTTTGTCATTATGATTCACAAAGTCCTTTGTCACAGAACACAATAGAATAATAGGCTAATAAGGCTGTAAGAGGATTTAGAGAAGCTGTATACAATTGCTGTATAGGTAAAACTCCATGTATTATTCCCCTCACACAAGTTAAGAGTTTCACTCTGGAATTTCACAAGATGGATATCCTGTCCATTTTTGAGCCAAATTACCATCGGAAATTGTGCAATTTCCCTCAAAATCTCAAAATAACCAAATTTCTTTGTCTCTTTTATATTCTTAAAATCTTTAAATAAATAAAGATGTTGTAGTCTTTTAGATGATATTTAGTACATGTATAGAAGGTCATTGCTCTTTGAATATACATGTAACGGATATATGAATGTTGCCTGTTGGTCGTTATTGATGCACACCGAGGCAAGGCAATGCGTCAATGAATGACTTATTGTTCACATCAGAGGCTTTTTCCCAATTTACACAGAGTATACCATTCATGTACATATATATCCAGTACAAAAAGGCTAGCAGTGCCTAGAATTTAAAGGATTTATTTCTGACAGGATTTTCAATTAAAATGCTATCAAACTATTTCAATTATGGTATGGGGTAGAATGAAATCAAAACATGTTTAATTATGAAAATACGAACAAATCGTCTTAATAAAAATACTATCAAACTATTTCATTTATGGTATGGGGCAATATCAAATTAAAACAAATATTTAAATATTAACGTTGTCCATATCATGAAATATTTGTCCTTTTGTACAGAAGCATACTGTAGCATTCACTAATGGCAGTACACAACGATGAATTCTTTAAATATGAAAAGGGAATTCAAAACCATGATTTTTTTGCGTCGACTTTCTTTTATCATGGAGAATATACTGCAAGTTGAACTTTGTGACACATCTGATCACTGCATGGTACCCTACATTGCCTTCACTTTAAGGATTACTGCATTTTCCAAATTATCTATAAACAGGTATTGTATGTATAGTACAGCATAAATGTACATATCATTATTTTTAAGATCTAAGATCTTCTGACACATTATAATGCATCCTCGATATCCTGGGGTTACGCTCACTTTCGCTCTCTACACCCCTGGAATATGTCATAGCAAAATTAAAGGCCCGTGTGCGCCACTCACTTTCGCTCTCTGCACCCCTGGAATATGTCATAGCAAAATTGAAGGCCCGGTGTGCGCCACCTTGTTGATGAGACAAGAAAATCAGTTTGATCCTTTGATATACATCAAAAGAATCTCGCAGTCACATAATGGTAACATTCGACAGGCTTTGAAGTCGGGCGTCTCTCCTTTGTAATCTTTAAAGGACAGGTATCAGCCTAGTTTTGCTATGACATATTCCAGGGGTGTAGAGAGTGCAAGTGAACGTAACCCCTGGATATCGAGGATGATTGTAATGTAGAGGGAGACATGTTTTTGACTGTTTATCAATTCCATATTTGGTATGTCACTTTATGACACCTAGGTACGAATTATCCATAAACAGCTTGTGTATGTGTACGTAGCTGAAGCATTGCATGTGTACATAACAACATACATGTACATACAAAATGTACATTCATCATTTTAGAATTTACTGACAAAGTAGAACGGGGACACATTTTGATGGGTCATCCATTCCAGATTATGTATGTCGTGCCACACTACCACAGACTCGTGTTATCTACAGTTTTACACATGTACTGACCCCCATCATACTGGAGATTGTTTCATGGAGTTTGTATAAGATAAACAAGAATCGTCTTTCAGCTGTGCCACACAGCCAGCACTTTTCTAAGTGCATGTTGCTATGATGGGGGTCGTGTTTCTGTACAATCAAGTGTTAGTGTTACTATAATCCAGAGATCATTAACACAACCCACTTTCTTAAAAATGGCCGTTCTCCTCTAGTAACTTTATAACTAACATACACTGCACACCATTCTTTTCTGGTCGTGGTGGCGGCGGCTACCTAGAAGTCCACAACTAACCAAATAGCAACTTAAGTCTTGTTTGTGGTTGGTTCACATTTTGTCTCTATGGTAATTAACCAATCGGCTGCCTATGAAATTGCGACTCTTTTGATTCTCTCAAATGATTTCTCAACCGGGTTCATCTGTGTTTTAAAGATAATTCCTGTTATCGGTGCTATTCAATGGACAGAAGCACCTATATTCAAACAAGCTAATAAAAAGGGACACTGAAGTCAATGTAATGGTTGGGAGGCACATTCCACACTTGTTGCTCATCAGATGAAGATTGATGCATCCACATACAGTACAAGCTCTGTGTTTCTACAGTGACAACCAAAAAATCTAAAATCAACAATTCGGTACAGGATGTTGAGGCACTGCCAGCACATGTCATCACCTTCAAACCTGGCCAGAGGCTCATTTTTATCATGGCAACTATAAAATTGTCAAACTGCATAGCCTGTTATAGGTAGACTATATATATATATATATATATATATAGAAAAAATCTCAACAACATGTCATTAGAGCATCAATCTCATCAAGCTAAGGTGATTTTTCAAACTGATGAGATGTAAGCGCTAATGACATGTTGAGATTTTTCCTTGTTCATAGCATTTCTTCATCTGTAAGAATCAATTTACAACTGTTGTTTCTATATATTTCATTTTAAACCGTACTGACTACTACCAATTCCATCAAGCCACAAATTCGATAATTCGTAGATTCTATCTTTCATACACTTGTGCTTTCTTCAATATATTCCCTAACATCAGTATCCTGCAGAAACAATAAACAATGACCCCTAGCTGGTCACCAACACCTGCTTGACCAAGCCAAAGCACATATTGTCCTCAATCAATCAAACTTTATACCTGCAGATAGGTGCACACTTCACAGCTATAGCTATAGCTTGGAGTCATGGTCACTCGTGTGTGAAACAAGTATATCAGTGATGGCTACTCCCTACGGAGTTATAATGGGTTCACTGAACGCTAATTAGCTTGTGATTACAGGGTTCTCCATAGGTTTTGGCACAGGTGGTTGAAAATTTATAATAGCTGGTTGGGTGCCGAGCGTGAAGTGATCAATCTGAATAAAGATACTTATTATATCTGTCAAACTCATGAATCAGACAAAACAAGACTTGTAAGTCACAGGCTAACTTCACTACAGAAAAAATGTTACATACATTTTCAATTAAGAACAGTCTAAGATTTGATTATGCAATGATTTTAATAAATTTATAAATTATGAGAATCTGCAATCACAAAGGAGCATATTGCTGCTATCAAAAGAAGGAAGATGTAAAATAAATCACAAGTACAGCTACAGTACATAACTACCTTAAGTGTAGAAAGTTTCAGAAATGTATTATGGTCGAGAAGGTTACGGCAGTATAAAGGGTTCTTCGTTCAAAATATTAATAAAGATATATCCAAAAAGGGATGTAACTCCTAAACAAATAATTGAAATAAAAAGTAAAGCGCAAGGGGTGTACTGTGTTTCTTATTTTTTCCCCGTAAGTTAACCTGCATCGCTCTTCAACAAACTTTCATCGACAGTCA